TGCCAGTGTCTGCCCAGAGCTGGGACCAGTTACTGACTGCTGTCCCTTCCATAAGCTCCTCCAGGGTGAGGCTGAGGATGGGGTGTGGGGTCTGTGATGGTGCAGGTGCTGGAGGAGGCAGTGTTTCGGTCGGTAGCGATGGTGCACATTTAGTGCCTTGATCATGTACATAAACCCACTGCGTTTCCTCTTAAACTATTGTGCAAGGTACAGGAATTTCATAACTGTCAAACGGAAAACTGCCAGCCGTGTGGCATATGACTAATGGGATGCTACCCAAACAACCCAGTGAAACTGCTAGACTGTTGCAATGTAAGAACCCATTTTCATGCCTCATACAGTGTAGAACACCAGAATAGCATTTAAATTCAAAGTCACTGCTCCTGATCACATCCTTATTTCTCATGGTTTAGCAATGTGTCAGAGGAAACTGAAAAAGGAGGAAGGGAGACTTCTACTTAGATATTTTTCCCCCCGGAAGAGAATCTTCTACCCACATAACCCACCCACCCCCCGAGTCTTCTTGGGGAGCAAAGCATTAAGTTTTAATCCTGTATGTAGTCAGTAAATTAGAAAAGAGAAGACATTAAAAGAAGTATTCTCCTGACTTCAGATCTTTAACTTCGTTTCCATAAAGTTCTTTTACTTGCCTGAAGATTCACCTGGACCAATCTCCTCAGCAAGCACCTGGTATGAATCCCAGCCCCACAACTGCCCACGGTGTGCCTTGGGTCACACACCGTGTGCCCCACTGCAGAGCACAGCACGGGCTGGGACAGCGTCAGACTGTCCTCAGCATCTGTCGGGCTGGGGCACAGCAAAGGGAAGAGAAACCACAGGACACTAAGCCCCTCAGCTGCGGCAATTAGATCAGAGGAAAAGATAAGAATAATTATTTTGCAGAACGTAAAGAATTCCACTTCCCCGCAGAAGAGGGAAGTCCCCGGCGCAATGAGGGAGCACAAACTCTGTGACTAAGCAGCCACAGCACCTCAGCGAGCTGCTAATGCCAATTTTTGCCATTTTATGAGCAAACCATGCTGTTGCCAGATTCCTGAAATCCATACCTCATGAATCTCCACATTCCTCAGCCTCTACTTCCCCTTGCACTGGAAGCGACACGCTCACAGCTGTTCCTGCCCCACATCCGAACTACACGAAAACACCCAAATCCACATAGATAAAGACCATGTTTTTCTCTGCCACCCTCTCCCACCTCTCCCTGACCATTGTCCGATTTGGGAGAGGAGCCCTGAGGTGGAGGTGGGGGGAGCCAGAAGGACGGATGCAAAAATCCCACAGGGTACACTAGGCCATCCAGAAGGATGGATGCAAAAATCCCACAGGGTACACTAGGCCATGAGTTGATACTGCTAGAAATAATTAAATGATACGCAACTTTATGTTCTAACACATTTGAATCTAAAAGAAATGTGCAATTGAGAGTAACTTGCAGCTTCAACCTTCTCCCAGACAAGCCCAAGGGCGCAGGAACCTGTCAGTACCTAAACCAGGGAAAAACAAAGACTCTTCTGGTACGTGGAAAGCACAAAGCAGAAGTGGAGAGATGGAGGTTTCTGTGCTCGTCTGCTTGGATTTATGCCCGAAGTATTATCCAGGTTTGCTTCTCAGCCCGAGAGGTGCAGTTTCTGTGCTCGTTTAAGAATCAGCAACGCTGGAAAATAACGCGAATGGCAGCGAGCAGATTTGCAGCCGTGGCACTGATTGATAGCATCTGCAATTAGTCAGAGGAAACTACACTAAAGGAAAGTACATTTGGCAAAGTGAAACACGTCACTTAGATATTTACTGCTATGAGAAGAGTTCAAAGGATGAGGTGGTTTGGGACCCAAAGCACAGGATTTATCTGCACAGAAAGAACAAACATCAGCAACAAGCACTTCAAGCCCCCGACTCCCTTGCGCAGGAAGGCTCAAAACCCACCAGTGGGCTCCTCACACACAACCCAAACCCAAACCCATGTAAGAACAGCAGCGCTCACTCCTTGCAAAGACCTGCTGACTATCAGGGAATTAAATCATTATTTTCTACTGAACTTAACCGTCCTGTCATTATTGCTGTGTATTTGCATTTCCACTCAAAGGCACTCCTCGAATATACCAGCCATTAGACTTCAGATTCATTCTAGAGCTCATGTTTAATTGTCATTTAAACTCACAAATTATTAATTAGCTGCAAGACGGATCAAAAAGCAGAGGGACTATTTATGTAAGACACAGCTGACAGAGGTGGCTGAGAGGAATCAGTGGCTCAACCCACAAGGCAAGAGCGTCCCTGTGAAGTTTCACTTAGTGTGAGGGTGAAATAAGACGATCGGTGTCCGGAAGATTTTCTCAAGTGGTAAAGAAACACGGGGTCTTATTCCTTCTCTCTGCACAGAGGAAGACAAGTGCATTCCCAGGTCATAAATTATGTGTATAGCTACACAGAGCTGACTTAGAGCTCCAGCTCCCAAGTCTAAGCCCACCTTAATAAGAGAAGCTCCTGTGATGTCTGGTCTCCGAAAGGCTGGTGCTCATGCTCCCTGGACTTGAGCAGGTCTTGTGCAGGTTCAGCTCTCCTCCCTTAAATTACACTCCCAGCAAAAAACAAAAATCCCTATCCGCTGCAGAACGACAGCGAACAAATGGAAAAAGACCTGTTTTAGGAATGAAACCTCTTTTTTGTGCCCTTGTGGGGAACCACAGCGCTGCCTCGGTTCTGCTCTCAGACACGTTGTACGTACGTTTCCTGCTCACTCACACGGCCCTTCCTTGTGTGCTGCTCTTCCTCCACAATCCCCAAAATAGGCTGTGGAACAGGTTAGGATAATGCCAGCACAGCATGTTGGCAGAATAACCACTCTTGTATAGAAAAATACAGTTTTTCACGTCTAACTGTAATTTACTCTCACGGGCAGCCAGAGACATGGGGTTTGATGGGCCCTGTGGCTGCTCCACCTTCCCAAAGAGTGAGCTGCAGGCTGAGTTTCAGGAGCAGCACAGCTGTATTTAGGTAAAGAAAGGAAGAGTTTCTCGAGGAGAAATAGCTGTCTCCAGAGGGTCACCCCAAGTTGAAAGCAGGAGCAAGAATCTTTCCTGACATGCCCCAAATGCTCTTAATTTCCTGTCTCTTCTACTAAAGCAAGTCAGAATCTGTCTGAAGAATGGGTGACTTCAGGGCAATTCTCAGAACTTGCCAGGGCAGGAAAGTGCCTGGTCAGAGGAGAAAGGGAACACAAACAACCTGGGGGGTTTCCCAGTCCCCCAGGACCGGACAGAGGAGCCCCCAGGCTGCTGCAGGAGTTTTGCAGTCACTGGCAGTTACAAAAGAGTGGAAAAAACACCCCCATCAACAGTGGAAAAAGCAGAGCAGCTGACAGAGCTTCACCAGACCTTGAGCCATCCGTTGGCTGCCCTTCCATTGGCATCCCCAACCCAACGCCCCGCAAGCGGAGCGCGTCTTTCAAGGCAGCAGCACCACCACAACCTCGTTACTCGTTTCCCCTCGTTAAGCTCTCCCGGCACACAAGACCTCACACTCAGACGTGAGAGAGCCCAACACAGAAACCTCCCCCTCTTAGGAAACAAACCCCCCAACACTTCACGGTACAGGATGAAATCAGTTTTACAGCCCCGGGGTCACGCTCGGTGCTTCCAGAGCGATGCTCAGGGGGGAACGAGACCGGCAGAAACCTCATAAACCTCGGGAAGGACATGGCTCACGGCATCTCACCGGGAAACCCGGCAACTTCCACCCTCCGGCCCCGCCTCGGTCCCGCTGCCGGGGAGCGCTTCCCGCATCCCGCCGGGGAGAGGCATCTCCGGCGCATCCCCCGGGGCTGCGGGGGCTGCGGGTCCCGCCGGGCTCGGGCGGTTCCCGGGGGTGCCCCGTCCCGTCCCGTCCCGCCCCCAGGGCTACAAAAGGCGGCGGCGGCAGCGAGAAGAGCGAGTAAGAGAGGGGTCAGGGGGAGCTCTTCTCTGTCCCCCAGCCTCAAACCCGCAGGGCTTTAAGTGCCCCGGGGGCTGCAGACCCCCGCGGTGGGCGGCTGGAGGTAACCCCTGCCCGGGGCGGCTGGGGGGAGCCGGGAACTCGTCGGGGTCCCTCCTCCTCCTCCTCAGTGGGAGCTGCTGGTCCGAGCCCGGCGGGCAGCAAAGGGAACACCAGGCTGCTCACCTTGAGGGGCTGCACCTGCACGTCCAGGTAATAAGCACCAGACCCTGAGCTCAGGTGTCAGGAAAGCGGTGGGAGGGCTGGGGGGTGGAGAGGGGCTGGGCAGGATGGTGGTGGGCACTGGGAAGCATCCCAAGGTGAAGGGGGCACGGGCAGCGACCCGTCCTGCTGCAGGCTGTCCCACACCCGCCTCCGACACCACACTTCAAACTTGCTCTTTTCCTTGCTCTGACAGGTAAGGCTGAATAAACCACCACTGGTAAACCCTTGGCAGGGAGCAAACCAGCGAGGGGACAGGATCACAAGAGGGTGTGTGGTCACGGAGCCCCCTCAGACCTCGCTCCTGAATACGCGACCCAACTCCGGGTTGGGATGGGTCAGACCTCCCCGGGTGCCAGGACAAGGGATGTAACCCGAGTCCCAAGCAGCAGTTGTGGAAATGCCTTTCAGATCGTGCAATGGAGAGATGCTATTGCAAAGGCTGCGCGCTGCCTGCCTGGGGTGCTGGGGGGGAGGAATTACAAAAAAAACCAACCAAAAACCCCAGTAAAATAAAATATCATTAAGACTTTATCTCTAGTGATCTGAAATTAATAGTGATCTCCCTCAAATCGTTCTCCGACATCATCTCTTATTATTGCCTCTTGAAAATAATAATGAAGCAAGATGTATTTGTATTTTTTTTTTTACGTAGATAAAAAGGGATTAATAGGTACAACTAATGAAACCATTTCTGTGCTTGCAAGTAAACTAGGGTTATTTTTTTAAGGATATTCATTAACATAGAGCATATTTTAATGATGGATTTTACATTTCTTTTCTCCAGGATGAGGATCCTTATTGGAAGCCTTCATTGCTACTTCGTTTCTTTCTTACTCAGTAGAGCAAACACATTCCTAATTCTGAGAACACCTACAGCCCATGCTTCCCTGGTCTATAACTACTCCTATTTAAACCTCTCTTCTGTATTGGAAGCACAAGCTCCAAAAATAGCAAGAGCTCTCAATTTCTCACATAATGCAATTGAAAAAATAACCAAGAGAGACTTGGAAGGTTTTGAGGCGCTGGAAGTTTTAGACCTTTCCTACAATCAGATTAAGGACGTTGAACCGGGGGTGTTTGAGAGTCTGCTCAGCCTTGTTTCCGTGAATTTATCCTTTAATGATAAGAAACTTCTTCTATCAGGTCTCCCACCCCACCTGAAGCTCTTGCCTGCTAGCAAAGCCTCAGGATCTTTGGAGCTTTCTAAGTATTTTGACAAATCCTCAGAGGCTGCTCTGGAGCCTTCTGCATCTGCCAAGGAGCTGTCACGTTCGGGAGGTCCCTCTGTCCTGCCAGATGTTAAACTGAGGCGCAGACGAAATACAGAGAATCTTCTCCGAAGGGCAGAGAAAAACGTAACGGTCTCTCCAACAGCCACATCAGGGCCTAATCTCTGCGCAGCACCAATTAATGGGACACTCAACCTGTCAAACAGCAAACTCTCCGCGGAAGAGCTGACATTAAAACTGGATCAGGATCTCTGCCAAGCTCAGCTGGATGGTATTTTGGAACTGGACATCAGTCACAGTGACCTGGAAATGGATCTTCTGTCACTGTTCAGCCTAGTTTTGCCAATGAAAAATGTGCAGTCCGTTGATGCCAGTTATAACAAATTAACAATTAACATTCTAAATGTTGAGGGGCTCTTTAAATTCCCATTCAGCAAGCTTTGGTTTCTAAACATTAGCAACAATCCCATCAACAGCTTGGATACGCTGTGGCTCCCTTCAACCATTAAGGTAATTGACTTGTCCTTCACCAACATAAGTCAAATACCCCAAAATTTTGCTAAAAAATTCATTAACTTAGAAAACATGTATGTTCAAGGAAATCACTTCATATATACTGTACATCCAGAAATAACTAATGCGGCTCCAAAATTTTGCCCTGGAACTGTCCATATTAATGCTATTTCATTTGTCAGAAACCAGGCTGGTACACCCATTGAAAGCCTTCCAAAGAAAGTAAAACACCTGAAAATGTCCAATTGCTCCATTGTAGAACTGCCAGAGTGGTTTGTGGACACAATGGAAGAATTACTATTTTTGGATCTCAGCAGCAACCGGATTTCTGTGCTTCCTGACTTACCCATCGCCCTGCAGCACCTTGATATAAGCAACAATGATATTAAAATAATACCCTCTAGTTTTAAATCTGCCTCCAACTTAACAACACTTAATATTCAAAATAATAAAATTACGGATATGCATCCTGAGTATTTCCCGTTGACTTTAACAAGATGTGACATCAGTAAAAATAAGTTGAACTTCTTGTCATTAACTGATGCCCTGGAGAAACTCGACTATCTTAATGTTTCTGGAAACCTGATCACCAGACTGGAAGCTGGCAGCCACCTTTCTGCTCTTACTAATCTGGACAGTAGTCACAACCTAATTGCAGAACTCCCTGATCACTTTGGGAAATCTTTGGCGACGCTGAAATATTTTAATTTATCAGGGAACAAGATCTCTTTTCTACAGCACGGCGCTCTCCCACCTTCTCTGATTGAGTTAGACATCAGTGACAATGCCATTACTACAATTGTGGAGGACACATTTGGTCGGTTAACGAGCTTGAGTGTTTTGACTGTACGGGGTAAACATTTTTTTTGTAACTGTGACTTGTACTGGTTCGTGAATGTCTATATCCACCACCCCCGTTTGCAGATAAATGGCAGAGGAAGTCTCAGGTGCAGCTTTCCACCAGACAGGAGGGGCTCGTTGGTGGAGAGCAGTAACCTCACGCTGCTGCACTGCTCCCTGGGCATCCAGATGGCCATTACAGCTGGCGTCGCCATCCTGGTTGTTTTGGTGTTAACAGGCTTATGCTGGTGGTTTGATGGGCTGTGGTACCTGAGAATGGGCTGGTACTGGTGTGTGGCCAAGAGGAAGCAGTATGAGAAGAAGCCAGAAAACAAGCCCTTTGATGCCTTTGTTTCATACAGCGAAGAAGATGCCAACTGGACGAAGGAGCATCTGCTGGAGAAATTGGAAGCTGATGGATTCAAGATATGTTACCACGAGAGGGATTTCAAACCGGGGCATCCCGTACTTGGTAACATTTTTTACTGCATAGAGAACAGCCACAAAGTCCTTTTTGTTCTCTCTCCCAATTTTGTAAACAGCTGCTGGTGTCAGTATGAACTCTATTTTGCTGAACACCGGGTCCTGAATGAAAATCAGGATTCCCTCATCATGATTGTGCTGGAAGATCTCCCGCCCAACAGCGTGCCACAGAAGTTCAGCAAACTCAGGAAACTGCTGAAAAGAAAAACCTACTTAAAGTGGAGCCCCGAGGAACGCAAACAGAAAATGTTCTGGCACCAGCTAGCAGCTGCCTTAAAAACAACCAACGAACCGCTGGTGAGAGCACAGAAGGGATCTGCTCAGGATGTGTGTGAGATGGAATGAGATACCAGAACCTGTAAAGATTGTGCCTGGAAAGTCTGTGGTCAAATAAAAGCATTTCTGCAAAGGCTGCCGTGTTGCAATGGGGTTTGTCTTGGATCAGTCCCAGGAGAGGTTACGAACGGGTTCGTAGCATTTGTGTTATCCTGCCTGATAAAAGGGTCTCTTCTCCAAAGGGCTGAGACCTGAGCACGGACAAACAGCCTTTTCTTTAGCTATTTCCAGTATTTCTTAAAATGCTGCGGATGTCCCCTGAAACAAAGGACAGCGTGAGTCACGCTGCATGTCCCAACTGTCTTTTTGAGATCAGTGCACTGAAAAACAATGTCATTCACAGGTAAGGTTGTAGTTCAGACTCACAACTCGGGTGCAGCTTCAGACGTGAACACACGCTGTGTACACATAAGAAAAACACAAGCCCTGACAGTACACAGGCAACAGCTGCTTTCTGTGGTTTAGTGAGAAAAGACTAAAGATTTACTTCACGTAACCATCTGAAAGACGCAATTGCAAATCCATGCTACTACAGCATTTGGTGTAAGTAACTGGAAGAACAGACCAGACTTTTAAATTTCTTATAATCACAGATTAACAGATACAACTAGATAATCAAAAAAGAGCCTGCTGAGCATGTGGGTCTCCACTGTTAAGTGCTGTTATTATAAATCTCTGAAGATTAAATAATAAATAACTATATATTATTATTTAGACTTCAGAAAGTTTCACTTGACACAATCAGCCTGACCCATTTTGAACGAATTCAGGGCTACCTCAGCATAGCCCCTGTCATCACCTAGTGCCACTTCATAGTTTTATTTATTGATTTGAAAAAAAAATAAAACTCAGCTGATGTAGTTTTCGCATTCAAGGAAAACCATCAGACTGTGACAGAAAATGAATACCAGGTGAGAAGAAATCATTTAGAATCCTCTCTACTCTCTAGTCTAAAATGTTCTGAGGTGGTGCCCAACTGTTGAACATTCTTTAGTGACTTTTTGAGGTTGTATGGATATTGTTTAAAGTTATTGGGCATTATGAGCTTTCAGTTTTTATATGTAAAGGACAAAAAAAATACCGCAAAAAAAATGCACGCCAACAGCTAAAAGTTTATCACCATAAAGGAAGATCTATTACTTTAAATAGTAAAACCTTGCGAATTATAAAAATCTTTCAAATGCTTTTGTTCCTGGAAACAATGAGAAGTCACTTGTTAGTGAGATCAGCCCCACGCATCAGTTGTTTTTCTAATAAAATTCTTTCTGCTTTCTTTGAGGCCACTTCTTATTTCATGAGCTAGCATGGTCAAACTGCTAGTAGCACAATTAACACAACAGCTGTAGATTTTCAATAATAAGAAGAAACAGCCCTCAGGTCAAACACTGTGACAGCAGCCAACACCAGCAATTTCAAAATAAGCCAAAAAGCACACTCAAACTACACACTGGATAACCTGGTCCCACCATGATGGGTTCATCCTAACCCCAGAAATCAAAGACTGCTTTAATTCCTGGAGTATAAAATTTTGTATGTATTTCAAAACATGTTGGCATTAACTGTCAAGGTCCTGATATTCATATTACCCACGTGAAGTACACACTAAACCTCCCTATTTTTTTCTAAAGAGCTCTGCAGCTCTTTAGGTCCACAGTGCATGTACAGGCAGTAAGGAAAAGTACAGCATGTTACATGAGTCTTGGATTTTCCACATTTCAAATTCATGAGATGCTCTCTTATTCTTCTGTTAGGGACTGCACTGACTACAGATCTACTTTTTCTAAACCATTCAGAATTCACATACTTTTATTGCTTACTCTCTTACCCATCTCTTCTCTTCACACACTTTTTCCTTCCACCTCCTTTGTCCAGCACTTTGTAACTTCTGCTCCCCATTAGGTTGCTGCTTTTTTACCCTCGCAGTCATGCTTTATGTGCTCAGCAGAAGAGGGTTCTGATACAAGGAGGCTACAGGAAAAAAGTTAAGTTATACTGCAGAAGAATCTAAAACGAGTAAATTTTTTGTCATAACTTTACTTAGTTTATGATGCACTTCAAAGAAATACTGCAGAAGAATCTAAAATGAGTAAACTTTTTGTCATAACTGTTTACTTAGTTTATGATGCACTTCAAAGAAATTGTACGTATTTTCAAAATCGAATTTCTGTTTGCTACATCCATAAACCTCTCCAAACCCACAGTTATTTGTATTAAATAACGTTGGAGGTGGCTGTCATTGCTGCTGGCATTGGGGTGCCCGGTGCAGAAGCAAACCCAAAAACTGCTTCATGCTAAAACCAGCCTTAATGCTTGTCTTCACCCCCCTTAAAGCACACGCAGGCCCCACCTTGCAACCACTTCTGGGGTCTGTCCTAGACTTCTTCCCCTCTGACACTGTAATTGCTGCTAAGAGCATATAGTTTGAGACAAAACGACAGGATCCCATGTATCCAAATTAGTACACTTTGTACCAAAGAGAAATGCAAAGGCAGAAAAAACAAACAAAACAGATCGTTTCATTATCTTTTATAATTACTTTAGAAAGAACCATGTTATTCATCATTTGTTTATAGAGAAAAATATCTGGGCAGAGAGAAAATACTTACGGAAATAATTTCAATTTAACATTTTGTATTAGAAAGTTGTTCACATCCATTTTATTGCAAGAAAGCTGTCTTGAATTATTCAAAATGAATTAAAATTCAGGATGTTAAACAAAGAACAGTGTTCATAATGTAATAGTCTTCCAGGAAAATAGTTTAGTTAACAAATAGCCCAAACCACCAACAACTCACATACGGCAATGACGTGACTGTTTTTTTGTTTCTAAAACAACAAATCACCCTTCCATCACTGTAATTTTGCTAAAGACATGGCATCTTCCTATAATGAGGCACCAAAAGCCTGTGGCACGATTATTTCGGAGATAGCAAGGCTCTGCTGAATTCCATAGAAGTTGAAAGGTGATTGCTTGTTTTGGAAAGATCTGACCACTTAAAGCGATAATTGTCAGGAATTTAAATGCCTCCAAATCATTCCTTTTCACAAGGAATTCCCACAACACGTGACACAACACAAATGGTCAGATTTATAAAAAAATATTTAACTTCTATTCATTTGCTCACTGTGTAGACCAACAGATAAAGTACACAGATTATTAATCTTTAAGTCAAACTGATGTTAGGCTTCTCAAGAAAACCTCAAAATTTTGGCGTCATCTTGTTATGTGGTCATTTTGGTTTAAAAAATGTTAATAGCTGTCAGTTCTATCTGTCAGGAATATCATAGCTGAATCCTCCCAGTTCCCACTTTTATACAAAGTCGTAGAAGAAAAAGCTACCAGCAACACGCTCTTTGCATAACAGTTTGTGAATTAGAAAATTACGGAGGTGACTGCGTTACTGATAGTGTACCAGTACTAGAATATTACAATATTAACCTTTATCCTCAAGTAAAACCTATAATTAGGTATGGCAGAGTTATTTCTATCAGATGTAAAATATTTCTCCAATTATCTAATTTTGGGATACTTACCACCAACCGTTAAAATAAATGTACAGTGAAAATTAATATATATATTTCAGAGGTCTATTACAGTGCCACAACGCTTCGCAGAAGTCCTTCCCTAGTGGAAATATAATGCTGTTTCTAAAATGCTGTGTCCTGCTTTAGGAAACCAAGACCGAAATCCTAAACTTCAGTTGAAGTTCATGGAAATTTTGCTCTTTAACCTCAACGGAACCAGGATTTCACCCTGCAAATAGAAAGGACCTTCGTTACTACTGACACTTGCTACAACAAAATACCACCAGTCCTTTCAACCTTCCACAACGGGAAGAGTTTAAATTTCAGTATCATATTACCAAGCATCCTCCCAATTCTTCCTTCTTGAAAATACAGCAAGTATGCAATTGAACAGATAATACTTCTGGTGCAGCCTCATACTGTTCTCTGAGATACTCTGCCTCGTGAGATAATTAATCATATAGTTAACATGCTTACTTTTTTTTTACTTGTCCAGCAGTAAAATTTAGTACCAAAACTACCCTCATGTAACAATTATAAATACAAATCTAAAATACCACCCTTCTTGACTTGCCACAGAAGTTGAAGAAAGCTTCACAGAAGTAATACCCTAGTATTCACTTCGAATGCAAATAGATATTAACAGTGGTGGCATTTTTCTTAACTGGCAGCAGTACGGCATCATTAAGTTCAGAATAATCATTACCAAAAGCAAAGGGGAGGAGGACCCATGGGCCCCCTGCTAAGGTTACACTGAGGGCACTGGTATCTGCTTGGTTGAAGCACTGTCATAGTCCCGCACCAGGTCGTTGGTGGTGTGATAATGCATGGCAACATAGGATTTGGCAAATCCGAAAGCCGAGTTCACTGGCTGTAAGCTGTTTGGGGTGCTGACCTCCTGGGAAGGGCTGCTGTTGTAGATACTGTAATAGGGCTCGATTCGGGTGTTCATGGGGGTCGAGCTGCTCTGTGCATAGTGCTGGTGCCCGACAGAAGCCTTGGGACTCAGCATGCTTTCCTTGGAGTGACTGGGACCACAGGCTTGGTCCACAAACTTTTTCTGAGGTTTTGGAGACAACATGTACGCTGAATTGGTCTCGTGGTGGGATGACTTGTTCCTGTTGACTTCCAGGCTGCCTTTGCCCATGGCCCGGAGCCTCGTCTTCTGTTTGCAGCAGAAAAAGACAAGGGCTACATACTGCAGGCACCAGAGGACTCGCCTCCGAAGCCCAGCGCTGTTGCGGGAATATATAAAAGGATTTAATCCAGATTTGAAAAAAATGAGGGTAAATCCACACAGCTCAAACTGGTAGAGAACAAAGCCCCCACTGCTGGACAGCATGTCCTGCACCAAAGAGATGCCCAGGGGCAGGCAGCAAACCAAGACGGAGAGCACAATGACAACGCAGGTCACCACCGCCCTGGAGTCTTTGGCTGTGGACAGGTTGACTGCTGGCACCAGCTGGAGCCGCCCGGCAGCGGTGGCCAGCGGCTGGCCAAGGTGCTTGGTGTAGCCGTGTGCCTGGAGATGCTGTGGCTTGCTGCAGCTCTGGTTCCTGTACAAGGCGGGCACGGCGCTGGGCATGCTGCTCTGCACGCCAGCCCCGGCAGCCGCGGGCCCCACAAAGGGCTGTGGTCTGGAGGTGTCCGCGGCCACCACAGGCGGGCACTTCCTCACCTGGGCATTCCTCCGCAGGGCCTGGGCGATCATGACGTAGGAGACGGACACCACGGCCACGCAGCAGATGAAGTCGGTGACGTAGAGGTAGAGGATGATATTCCCCCTGCCCCTGGCGAAGCTGGACATGGGCAGGCAGAGGCGGGAGCCGCGGGTCTTCAGGGTGGCCAGGGTGGCCAGGGTGAAGCTGGTGGCCCACAGGAGCAGGGTGAGGAGGAGGGTGCAGGGGAAGGAGGCAGCACGGTGCGGCTGCTTCCCCAGCACCATGCGCAGCCGGTGCAGGGCGATGACCGCCACCGTCTTGAGCGACATGATGATGAAGCCGGAGCTGGTGAGGTGGAAGGTGAAGCAGAAGGCACCTGGGACGCCTCGAGCCGAGTCGAAGAAGAGGACGAAGACGAACATGGGGGCGGCCACCCCGCAGATGAAGAGGTCACAGAAGGAGAGGTTGAGGATCATGAAGTCGAAGTTGGTCCTGAATTTCCTGAGGGCCGGGTCGAAGAAGGAGAGGAGGACGATGAGGTTGCCGTAGGAGCCCAGGCAGAACACCAGGGCCAGCAGGGAGGCGCAGGCCGCCAGGGTGGCGGCGTGGGTCCCCTCCCGCAGCTCCCCGGAGCCGCCGCCCGCGCTGCCGTTCCCGCTCAGCGGCAGCAGCGAGGCGCCGGGGGACTCCTCCTCGCCCCCCGCCGGCAGCCGCCCCGACGCGTTCATCTCCGC